TGTATAAATTCCGGAACAAGAGTGTGAAGATGCCGCAAGCATTCAAAGTCTGGCAACACCGTAACCCGTAACACCTTTTATAATTGAAACATGCCAACTCAGTCAAATCAGAAGTCAGCATCCAGGCAGCGAATTCCAGCACTTGACAACACTTAAGGAGTAGGAGTTGTGTCTACAGTCCATTCTGCTATGTTGTGTCTCCAGTTTCTAGGTGTTACCCCTTAGGTTTGTGTTGGAGCTAAACATAATTAGGTGTTTAAGTGGATATCCAAAAGTGTTAGGGATACTGTCAGCCATTAGATGGTCGCCTCTCAGATGCCTATACTCTAATGGGTAAAAGTTTAGTGATTGAAAGCGCTCTTCATAAGGCTTGACTTCGAATCCCCGAACTGATTTCGTGGCTCGCCGTTGGATACGTTCCAGAGTGTCATTATCCTATTGGAGTGAGGGAGGAAATACTATGTTTCCGTACTCTAAATGGGGACGAAAAAAACTGTTGAAGATTACATGGAAAGTTTTTCCGTCAAACTGGCCAAAAATTTACTTCAATGTTACCAGTGCATGGTTTGCTCGAAAGGCATTTTTGTCACAGTTAGCGTGAATTGATATCCTTCAGAATGAGGCTTTCCTTATTTAATTTTCTATGTCAGAATTACTAATATGAGATATCAACCAATTTACAACATACTTCATGGACCCCATAATCTCGAGCAAGTTAATGCAAACGCAGACATGTAGATCAGTAGGACTACGTTGGCATGAGTTCCAAGGTGGTGGGCATGAGAGTCTGAAACTTGAACAGTTTAGATATGCTTTCCAACATAATAAGAATAAAATTTATCAGCATGAATAAAACATCTGGAAACGCAATAGTAATATCATGATTTGAAAAAATACATCTAATGTTTCGACAAGAAACGGACTCACTCACTAGTTTGATGCACTAGACCACGTTGAGCTCACCACTAAAGACTTCACCAATATTCGATGCGCGACAACCCTTATGTACGTAACATCTTCATAATTGAAGGTTGCAAAGCCAGTTGGATTGGAATTCAGTAGTGGAGTTTGAAGATACATTTTGAAGGCGGTCAACGTGTCGTGAAGTACATGTTCTAGGCTGATTAGTTGTAACTGGGGATAGGTTGAACAACGTAGCAATATCTCCAATATCTTTGTGCCGATCTTCCGTCCCGTTAGCAACGAATGAAAGTTATTTTTAAACTCCCGTCCTTATCATCGAGGAGAGCTTCGTTAAAAAGATAGTGGCACTTTTCCTCAGAAAGTAAATTTTATTGTTTTGATCGTAAATTGAGTACCAAAACAACTGTATCACTTTAACTGAGTTTATTTCACTTGAAAAATCTGCCAAGAGCATCGTTTTCTCTTAAGCAAATTATCATCACTACTTTAAAGTACATCTGTTCTTTGTACTTGTTTTCACTTAGTTTCTAGTAATCCGCAGTTTTCCACTTATTCTGGTTATTAGCTTCTCTTGCTTCTGGGTAATGTTTGTTCCTAGTTTCTTTTGAAAACCTTCAATTGATGATTAGACTGTGCAGAAAGCGCAAGTGCCAACGCCCGCTCTGTATAGACCTTGTGGTAAGTGGCATACAGTGCGATTAATGCAAAGGATGGTACTGTAGTGAACAAGAACACGAGTGGGGACAACCGAATGTATTTAACACAAAATTACAGAACTTATTAATAAAATCTAACAACCACATAGTTAATGCTCAATTTGCAAAATGTCCTTCAATTGTCCCAAGGTGACCCAGACTTCGTTGTTCTTGTATTTTCATACAAAATGCATCCTGTTTCCGATCTTTACTGTTCGATCCTCTTGTCTCTCTGCTTCAGTTCACGACTAACACCACATACTACTTATGTCAATATAAGTAGCACACCACTGTACTACGAAGTTCTCGACAAAGGATGATGCCGAAGCCACTTTAGATGGTGCATGAAGCCATTTAAACGGGCTTCGGATCTGCTACACAAGTGCTCGGAGCTTGCACAATAAGCGATCGGACCTGGGAGTGCAGGAAGACTCTACCAAGCCGAATGTAATCGAAGTCACAGAAACTTGATGTAGTTTATAGACGAATTGACTTTAATGTTTCACTTTGGCCAAAGTCAACAGGATTCAGAGGATTTCATGCAATTGGTTCCCTTTATGAATTTAAATAGAGCAAGAACAAACATTGATGCAGAATAGCATGAATTCATATTATTTCGAGGTTTCTCGTCAGCTGCTTACAAACCAAAATTGTGATAGAATTTTTACATGGAGATAGTGTGAAACAATTGACAGAAATGAGTGTAAATAACGTGATTACAATAATAACTATATATATATGCTAGAAACAGGTCAGAGGTCAAAAGAGGGGAGTTAATCCAGGGTGGGTGGTGTAATAATTTAGTGAAGTTCATAAATTGTATGATAATTGTAGAGATTAATGGAATAATGATAAGGTAGATTACGTAATAATAATTAAATAGGGTTTGGAAAGTTAAGATGATTTAAGATGATCAGGTGACCGAAATGTGTGAATAAAATTTATTTTAAGAATCAGGTAATAGGGGGGAGTGTAAATTATCTTAGAATAAGTAAATGAATAAAATAACCAAAACACAAAAAAAAACAGAAACAAAAAGATTACCAGGGTAGTGATAAGTTTATTAAAGTCTTTAAAGACTTTAGGATTCAGAGGAGTAAGAGAGGAATAGTAGCTCTATTCATTAGAAATACTATTCCAATTACCATTATTGATAACGTATCGCAAGAGAGTGGGGCATGTGAAATAATTACTTACGCTTGAAATGCAAAGAACAAGAACTGCTGATTGATTTGGTCTGCCTCAGTCCAAGCAGTGTAGTGGATGAGGTCTTGCTACAAAGTCTCAATACTTGATCACAAAGCGGTCGATGTTTAGTCCTTGGAGACTTCAATGCACATACACTCAGCATACTCGTAGATTGTACAGTAAAGCCAGAGTCCTCATTCGAAACAACTCGTAATGTATTTGGCAATTTGCATTTAAAAGTCACTGCTCCACACATCTCTTGGACTACACCAAGGGGTCCGAGAAACTCTTCATCAAGGTTCGGTAGGGAAGTTCACACTTTTCTCCGTAAGATGAAGAGAATGTGAGAGAGGTTTAGATGGCTGGGTACTGACAAAAAATTTCGACACCGAGAAGCCCGAAATATTTGTCCCTCAACTCCCTCAAGCCTAGATTACTCAAAGAAAAACATGTTGAGAAATCTATAGAATGCCCTAAACGCTTATATTCGTACATAAACCAAAAGACTAAGGGAAGGGGAAATATTCCAGCATTGTGGAGAGACAGTAGTACTTTATCATTAGCCGAGGATGATTATGGTAGAACTCGGGTATTCTCAAACTACTTTGACAATATAATTACCCTAGAGATGTCCTCTCCCCCAAATCATACAAACCCTCCACACATGATGGACGCGGTGACCATTAAAGAATTCGATGTCTTTGTCCTGCTAAAGAAGTTTGATATAAACAGATCCATGGCACCCGACGAAATACATCCTAGGTTATCAAAATAACTAGTAACGTTTTAGTCTATCCGTATCCCAGGTTCGATTGTCAAAAGACTGGAAGAACGCTGTAGTAAGTCTTGTCTTCAAAAGAGGTACGAAACATAAACTAGTCTAAATAGCATGGCTGTTAAAATTTTAGAAAAGATTGTTCGGAAGAAGTTACGTATCTCGACGAAAACTGAATTCTTTCTGAAAAGCAGCACGGCTTTAGAACAGGTTATTTGTGTCTCACTAATTTATTAGTAACCCGTAAAATCTGGTGCGCTCTTAAAGACGAAAAGTTACCTATAAACGTAGTCTACATTGACTTCAGCAAAGCTTTTAACAAAGCTCCTCACAACAGGCTATTATAGAAGTAAATAAATAGCGGGGTTGGAGAGAATTTATTGTTATTGATAAGAGACTTCCTAGTTGGACTCCAACACAGAGTACGATTGGACTCCAAGTTGTCTAGCTGGAAAACTGTGCTTACCAGAGTATTTCAGAGTACAGCTTTGGGGCTAGTGTTGTTTCTCTTGTGTGTAAATGACCTTCTCAGTCCCCTATAATCACCGGTTTTGTTATATACTGAAGATATCAAGTTATGGAGAGCAATAAAAAGTAAAGGTGATAATTTGTTGTTTCTAACTGACCTGGAGAAATTATCTGAATGGTCTCAAATTTGGCAGTTGTAGAAAAGTGCATCCAAATGTATTGTGATGCACACTGGTTATCGAGGTACAGATACATATAGAGTAAATAACATTAGGTTACCTTTTGTCCACACACACAATGACTTAGGAGTTGAAGATGGCACAGGTATTCAGTGTTTGACAACGCTTTAACCAGTACCACCTAATATAACTCGTACCCACCAAGCTAAATTAAAAGACAGAATCTGGGAGACTGGAAGATATATTTGATGACTATCAAAATATCGAGAATCGTCTGATCTAATCTGGCTAGCGATTGCAGTAGATGTTGAGCACGGCGTTCCCACTCGTGACCTGGTGCGGATGCATGACCGAACGCCTTCAGCTAGGCGAGTCCATTAAAACATGCGGTCAGCATCCAATGTCTAAAACTTACAGAGCTATTTATTTTGGGGATTTATTTACCGCTACAGAGTCATTGTTAGCCAAGACTAAAAAACGACTGCATACTGACGTTCGATAACCGCTAAAAGCTTTAAAACCTTACGGTTAATGCGTAGGGCCTTTAGACACTTCGATGCCAAAAACTTTTTGACTTTGTATAAAGTTTTCGTAAGTCCTAAACTCGAGTACTGCTTACAAACGGCTAGTCTAGAAAGAGAGAATGAGCTTTTGAAGAGCCCCAAAGAACTGCAACTAAGCTGATTCCCGGTATAGAAAAGCTCCTATATAATGTTCCATCAGTTAAACTAAACTTATTATCATTGTCACGTAGAAGAACCAGAGGAAAGCTAAATGATTTACGCGCCCTCATTGGCCGTGACGGTACAGGCATGTACGATGGCAGAGGTTCTCCGCATAGATATCACTGGAACCCCTGCAGTCCTAGCCTAAATAGGGATCCTTTATACAGGGGAAGGTTTAACAGTCACTCTAGGTAATCAGGTACTCTAAATTCCAGCTTTTCCTGTCTGATTCGGCGTATAAGTTTCAGATAAATTGTGATTTCATATTATATTTTGCTCAGGTTCTAGTCATTTTTAAAATCCTTATTGACTAACTGGATTGTCTGTCGCATCTTTATTTACGTCGTCGGACAAGAATGATTGTTTAAACCCATAATGGGCTTGTAATAACTATCCAGTTAGAAATTAACCTAGTTAGCAATGACGAGGGACCAAGAGCGATCATGTGGGGCCAAACTCAGTAAACGTCGAGTTTATTGTTGGGTGCAAGACTGTTTCTCTGTCCATGGGTCCCGTCTCGTATGATGTTCGACCACCTTTTTGTGAAGTGGGTAGGAAGAGGTTCCACATGGTATTTCTTGACGAAAGAAGTACTTCACAGTAGATAGAGGTGTCTGCTGAAGATATACTTAGTGGGAGTCTTTTACTTGATTAATGCTAACTTGTTTGGAGCTTGTATTGAACTTGTATATTGACTATCTCTACCTATCATGGTTGACAGTTTCGTTGTTTCCATTCAGTTTTTTGTGTGGATTCACTCTCAGGAATAACTTCCTCAAAATGACTTCAGTTTTCAGTAATAAGTATCGTTTGGCTGACGTGAAATATCCAGGTAGGAACTATTTTTGGAGACCCATTTTCTTAAGTGTCCATCTATAGAGTTGCTGTCCTTTAGGTCAGAAGCCACTAAATTGTTATTTATACTTTGAATGGGCTCAATATTGTTGAAATCTGTGATAAAACAAGGGTTAGTCACCTTAATTCTCTTGTATTCCAGAAGTTTTGGGTATGGTATACCATGTATAGTGGACAAGTGACGATTGCCTTAAACGGGTAGTTTTCGTCTACCTGTACGGTTCATTCCAAGTCACTGATCTTATGTCTTGGCCTGGTTGCCCCTGAGTTCTAAACCATTCTGGCCAGCATTACTTGTCTAAAGTAGGTGGTGGTTGAGCATACGTAACACATCCCTTAGCCGTCGTAACACATGAAGACTTATAATCCCCTCAACTGGTTCCCAGTCTTTGACTAGTGTCCCGATCGAAGCTGCTACCTTGACGCGGTGGTCGGGCTTGCCTATCGTGATGACCCAACCGAGCTATATTGGCTGGAACATATGTTCCTGCAGGTTCTACCATGCCAGGCAGGTCGATTGGCGAACGGTAAGACTAAAAGCAGCAACTCAAGGTCTGAGGGCGAAGTCGTACTGCTGACTGTAGAGAGGTGTGACAGCAGTAAGGTGTTTCCCTCGGACAACCAGCATGACAGCGATGCTGCCTTCCCACAAGGAGGGGTGGGGTTAGAAAAGGTCGACCCTAAAAATGCACACCTCACCTTACCTCACGGATTTCCGTCTCCGGCGGTAAGGCCCTTGAAGAACGGAGCTAACACGTCAAAAACCTTCCACAAAAAGGCCGTGCGCGACCGGCCTCAAGCAGTTGTCCCTTGGGCTCTGCGGTCACGCTCCCAGGTCGTCAAGACCAACACTAATCCAATTTCCTTTTCAGGTTCATCAAGAAATACCCTTCCACGGTGTGGGCATTCGGGAAGTGACATCAGCCCTCATACCCGTAACAGCACAAGAGACCGAGGTGGTCACATTCAAATCCTTCCTACACCTCCTAATACCTCTCTTATCCTCCCGACTAACCCTCCTCACGTCTCTTTATCATCTCGCACCGCTAGGGCAAACGATTCGAGTACGTGGAACGCTATTCCTGGTCTCCTGAAACCACGCTCTAAACTACATATAGGAGCTTTTAACGTACGAACACTTTGCCAAATAGGACAGCAGGCTTCCCTAGCTAAAACTTTAGAATCTCGCGCCATCGATGTGTGCTGCGTCTCCGAAACGCGCATACAGGATCCAAGCAGCGTCATTCATTTGACCTCACCATGCCAAAATAAAGAACCGACTCGATTTACGCTTCGTGTATCTGGAAGCCCTGATTCTGCTTCCCGTGGCCTCGCCGGCGTAGGTATAGCATTGAGTCCTAGGGCAGAACTAGCTCTCTTAGAGTGGATCCCAGTAAACAGTCGTTTGTGCGCTGTCCGACTGAACGGAACAGTAAGAATCCGGAAAGATAGGGACACTCGTCGTTGCCTCTTCGTCGTCTCTGCCTATTCTCCCACTGACTGCAGCTCAGATGATGTAAAAGATGAGTTTTACAGAAAGCTTTCGGACCTTCTCCGAAAAGCTAAGCGCTCGGATGTAGTAATAGTGGCCGGTGACTTTAATGCTCAAGTAGGTAAACTAAGCGATAAGGAAAGACACCTAGGTGGATCCTATGGTGTCGTGGCTCAAAGAAGAGATAATGGCGACCGTCTGTTGCAGCTATGCTCAGATAACCGCCTGTTCCTTGCAAATACTAACTTTAAGCATAAGGAAAAACATCTTTTAACATGGCGACCCCCTAATTCGTCCCAACGTTGGACCCAAATAGATCACATCGCTATCAGCCACCGATGGAGGGGCTCGATAGAAGACTGTCGCTCATTCTGGAGCACATGCCTAGATTCAGATCATGCTCTAGTGCGAGCGCGTATTTGCTTGCGTTTTACTGGACGTAGGAAAGACACTGCAAGGAAACCTCTTAGGGCCTACTTAATGATAGTCAAGCTAAGAATATATTTCAGGAACAACTAGGAAAACAGTTAGGCAGCCATGTATGTGATGCCCACCCCGAGGCAGCATGGAACGATATCCGAAAAGCTGTGGAAACAGCAGTGATATCTGCTAGTAAGGTAAACCGTAAAGTTAGGGAGCAACACTGGATCTCAGCAGCATCTATCGCACTGATAGATGCTCGGAAACTCATTCCACCTGGCTCTGAACATAATGAAGAGCGGAGTCAGCTTAAGCGCAAGCTGACAAGAAGTCTACGCAATGATCGCGAACAGTGGTGGGTAGCGAAAGCAAGAGAGATGGAAAAGGCAGCGGCAATAGGTAATAGCAGACAATTGTTTAGACTCGTTAAGGAAACCGGAATTAGGAACCCGACCGTTAGCGAAACAATCTCAGAGAAAGATGGACATATTATTCATTCTCAATCCAGGAGATTGGATCGATGGGCAGAACACTTTTGGGATCAGTTCAACTGGCCTTCAGCCACACTTCGGTTTCCCACGATCTCCAGTCAACCTGAATGGCAAGTTAATGTAAGTCCTCCGTCTCTTTACGAAGTTGAAAAAGCCATAGGAAATCTGAAACGAGGGAGAGCAGCAGGCCCTGACAGGTTTACTCCTGAGATTTTTAAGGATGGTGGTCCAGTATTAGCAATGAGATTAACTGAGGTCTTAGGTAGAATTTGGGAACTGGACGTAATCCCATCTGACTGGTCTCAATCATTGATTGTGCCAGTTTTTAAGAAAGGACAAAAGTCCTCTTGTGACAATCACAGAGGAATCAGTTTGACTAATATAGTGTCTAAAATATTAGCCTCAATAATACTTCGACGCCTAACTAAAGTTCGTGAAGAGCAGACTAGAGAAAACCAGGCTGGTTTTCGACCTGGACGTGGTTGTATCGATCAGATATTCACACTACGTCAGGTTCTAGAACAGAGACACACATTCAGACGCCCCACAATGGTAGTATTTCTCGACCTTAAGGCGGCATTCGACTCCGTTGATCGTGAGGTTCTATGGCAGTGTTTGTCACTGAAAGGAGTACCAAAGAAGTACATTAACCTTATAAAGGCTCTCTACTCGAACACAACTGGTAGAGTGAGAGCTTATGGCGAACTGTCATCAGAATTGATCACCTCAAGTGGTGTTCGTCAGGGCTGTCCACTCTCCCCATTCTTGTTCAACTTCGTCATTGACGTACTTTTAGAGATAACACTCTCCTCATCTAAATTTACAGGGGTTGAACTTCTACCAGGAGGTTCACTTGTTGACTTAGAATATGCAGATGACATAGTTTTATTTGGTGAAGACGCTGACAAAATGCAGAGTCTTCTGACCACTCTAAGCAACAATGCAAGCATGTTCGGGATGCGATTCTCTCCCTCCAAATGCAAAATGTTGCTTCAGGATTGGGTTACATCGACACCCGAACTAGTGATAGGGAGTGAAGTAGTTGAGTGTGTCGACCGCTTCACTTATCTTGGAAGTCTCATCAGCCCTTGTGGTTTGGTGTGTGACGAAATCTCAGCACGGATACAGAAGACTCGACTAGCTTTTGCCAACTTGCGTCATTTATGGCGTAGGCGAGATATCCGTCTATCAACCAAAGGACGTGTTTACTGCACAGCAGTTCGTTCCGTCCTACTTTGTGGCAGTGAAACATGGCCGGTAAGAGTAGAGGATATCCGTAGGTTACTAGTATTTGATCATAGGTGTCTTCGAAACATTGCTCGTATATCATGGGACCATCGAGTAAGTAACACAGTTGTTAGGAAACGGGCACTAGGTAAGGATGGCAAATCAATTGATGACGTAGTGAAACTTCATGAGTTGAGATGGCTGGGACACGTGTTACGTATGCCCTACGACCGACTGCCTCGACGTGCTATGTTCAGTGGTATAGGAGTAGGTTGGAAGAAAGCTAGGGGCGGCCAAACCATAACATGGCACAAGTCCATGAAGTCACTGACAAGTGAACTGAGTCATGTTGGTAAGTGTAGACTACCTGGTTGGGGACCGCGAGATGATAGCAACCGATGGTTAGAGACCCTGAATGACATGGCTCAAAATCGTTTGCAATGGCGCAGGTGCATCCACTCTTTGTGTTCTCCCAAATTCTAATCTTCTGAATTCTTCATGTCCCTTTTTTCCTCTTTCCAAATTTATTTCACTGGATTATACTCTTTAAATAACATCTCCAAACCCTAATCTTCCCGATTACTGCTTATACTCTTATTACCTCTATCACTACGGGATTTGAATCGACAAGTCCATCTCTGTGCTAATGTGGTGTGGCAACTCGAACTGATGTACGTACGTACGAAGTTCTACGTTGTTACTGACTGACTGACTGACTTTGACTAGTGTCCTACACCCAACCCTAGTACTGCTTTCTCGATTTTTTCACGATACATGAACAATATTATTAAGATATATGATCAATAAATCACGACCCATTACTGTCTTCTGATTTTAGAGGTCAAGTTTCTCATCGACAAAGTAAAACAGAGTGATTTATCACTCAGTATTATTACTTATTAGTTGACAAATAAACGTATGGCTCACTCTACAAGTAATTTAAGCTGAAAAAAGCTAAACTTTCTAAATCCATGGAGATTTCGTCAGATATTGACCCACAAGAGTTGCTGGGACTTTCAAGATAAGTAAACTGGTAAACGCTTTCAACTGCTTTACTCGTTATGACCAACCTGGGTAATAAAGCCCTTGATCCTGAATAAATTCTGGTCAGTTAAGACAGATGGCTTTCAATTATTAGGTTGTATGTTTGGAGCTCACTATTTTTTTTGGTCCGAATTTTTGGATAGTGTTACTTAGTAGTTAAAGGACTTGCCATTCACTCAGTAGATCATAGGTCCAAGTCCTCCTTTACCTTCTATTTGTGCAGCTTAGTGATATCATCATCCCTTATCCGAACAATGAAGCTCAAAGTTGAGTACATAAACCTTGATTCGCCAAGTAATTTCCACTGCTTAAAGACGAATAAAAAGAGCCCATATTTGACCATAGAATTGCATCAGGCTAACCATTCATAGTAGCTGCATATATTTCAACTTTTTTTATCATCAAAGAAATTTTCAATTTTTTATATAATTTCACAGATCACCAATCACTTCAACACCTCCATTTGGCAGCGGGAGATTTCCTCGATGTCCACAAGACTCTTTAGTTTGTTGGAGTCCACCCGTAGGTTGTCCATCTTATTATGTTGACAGTCCCCCCGCACGTTATGGTTCGCCGAATTTCAACCAACCATCTTATCACCGAACCTTTGATTCTCCCGCGAACTCATATGCCTCACACTCACCATTTATGTCTAACTGCAATCCATCTATGAATATCCACTCTGGTTCAATTTCTAGTAGTTCTTTGATATCGACTCAAGACGACTCGAGTTGGAAGTATGGCACTTCTCAGCATAATTCTTCAGCATTTGATATTAGTTCAAGATCACCACGAAATAGTAGCAGAAAATTCAATGAGAATAACCGTTCATTCAAGAATTGGATTGCATCCAGTTTATCAGACCCTTGGGAAGGAATGAAACCAGTTCGTACACCACATTCCGGTTATTTAGTTGATAAGCCGCCTGCACAAAGACATACTGTTTTGTTTGCTCCTCACGAACGTCGGAGAAGGTTAGAGGTAGATGATGATGAGGCAGTGACGATTAGTCCGACAAAGCAACTTCAAAGAGTTTGTTCTAATTAGAACTGTAATTTTAGCACTGCACAATCTATCTTATGTATGCACTATTTTATTGTATACGTGTGCAATACTTCGTTTTATATAAAAACTCTTTCTTTGAAAAATAATGCCATAGGATTTTAAGTTCAGGAAAATCGTAGGACTTTGGTAACCGTTCACACATTTGGTGTTTATTCAGTAAACGAGATTTCATTATCTGTGTTTGACCTAACTTATGTACTCGTCTTCGAGGTCACTGAGTAAATTCTAGTAAACCATACTATTTTTGTTGTTTGTGGCTCAAAGCTGAGTACATATATCTACACTCAGCAAATAAGTTTTGCCATTCTTTGTAAAGTGATTTCATAGGTATTTAGCTCAACAGTTTGTTTTCAAGCTAGTGTTCTAAACAGTGTTTCCTGTGTCTTTCCTTTTGCATAACATTACTATTAAGACTTCAAATTTTGTGCTAGTGTCGTCATACTGCTTATATTCTTGATGTCAGTTTAAGCACATGTACCTACCTTTTCTTTACAAATTATTCAATAAATTTAGATAATCATACCTTAACTTCGTATTTGTGTTAGGCTTTCCACGTATTAGTTAACCTTATAGTCCGGTCACCAATATGTGTTTACCAACTGTTGATTTGGATGTTTAAATTCCCTGTAAATCAAATGAAAACATCATAACCAGAACAATCTGACTGCATGATGATTTCAATATTAATTGTTTCTGGTTGGAAACTAATCTGAGTGCATCACATCTAAAGAAAGCCTGTATTCCATAAAATCATTTAATATCGAGAGAATATATTTTCGAAATGTCTATTACGACGAATGATTTTTAACCATAGTATGGATGATTCAGTGAAAACGTTCTCGCTCAAGTTCAAACAGCTAGAAATAATAGCTTTCTCTCCGTTGACTAGATGTGTAAGATTAATAGACTTTTTCTGCTTCTCGTTTATTAAGAAAGTTACTTACTTACGCCTGTTACTCCTAATGGAGCATAGGCCGCAGACCAGCACTCTCCAACCCACTCTGTCCTGGGCCTTCTTTTCTAGTTCCATCCAATTCTTGTTTATTTTTATCATGTCTATTTCCATTTCCCGGCGTAATGTGTTCTTTGGTCTTCCTCTCTTCCTTTGGCCGTCAGGATTCCATGTGAGAGCTTGTCTTGTGACGCAGTTGGGTGCTTTCCTCAATGTGTGTCCTATCCACTTCCAGCTCTTCTCCCTGACTTCTTCCTCCGCTGGGATCTGGTTGGTTCTTTCCCACATTTGGTTGTTGCTAATAGTGTCCGGCCAACGGATACGAAGTATTTTGTGTAGACATCTGTTAATTAAACACTTGTATCTTCTGGATGATGGCTTTTGTAGTTCTCCAGGTTTTTGCCCCATACAGTAGAACTGTCTTGACATTTGTATTGAAAATCCTAACCTTGGTGTTGGTTGACAGTTGCTTTGAGTTCCAGATGTTCCTCAGTTGTAAAAATGCTGTTCTTGCTTTACCGATCCGTGTCTTCACATCTGTATCAGATCCACCGTGTTCATCAATGATGCTGCCCAAATATGTGAAGGATTTTACATCTTCCAAATCTTCTCCGTCAAGTGTGACTGTATTGGTGCATGCTGTGTTGTATCGGAGAATCTTGCTCTTCCCTTTGTGTGTATTGAGACCTATTGCTGCTGAGGCTGCTGCTACACTGGTCGTCTTCTGCATTTATTGTTGCGTTTGGGTTAGAAGGGCCAGATCATCTGCGAAGTCTAGATCGTCCAGCTGCATCCTAGATGTCCATTGTATCCCGCGTTTCCCTTCAGATGTTGACGTCTTCATGATCCAGTCGATCACCAGGAGAAAGAGAAAGGGTGAGAGTAAGCAACCTTGCCTAACACCGGTATTCACTTCGAATGACTTTGTCAACTGTCCTCCATGCATAATTTTGCAGTTTAATCCATCGCATGAATTCTGTATGATATTGACTATCTTCTGAGGCACACTATCAAATGCCTTTTCGTAGTCAATGAAGTTGATGTATAGTGATGAATTCCATTCAATTGATTGTTCCACAATGATCCGTAGAGTTGCGATTTGGTCTGTACACGATCTATCGTTACGGAATCCTGCCTGTTGGTCGCGAAGTTGGGCGTCTACGCAGTCCTTCATCCAGTTTAACAATACCCTGTTGGAGACATTTCCGGGTATTGAGAGAAGAGTGATGCCCCTGTAGTTATCACAGTTACTGAGATCGCCTTTCTTTGGTATTTTGACCAAAAGTCCTTCTTTCCAGTCTGTTGGTACTTGTTCCTCATCCCAAACCTTATTGAAGAGAATGTGGAGTATCCTTGCAGTTACTGCTACGTCTGCTTTTAGTACCTCTGCTGGAATGTTGTCTGGTCCTGCTGCTTTGCCACTCTTGATTTGTCTGATGGCCATGCTTATCTCTTCAACTGTTGGTAGGCCAACATCGATTGGGAGGTCCGTGGGTGCTGCTTCAATGTTGGGTGGGTTCAGTGGAGCTGGTCGATTCAAGAGTTCTTTGAAGTGTTCTACCCACCTGTTTCGTTGCTCTTCAATGTTGGTGATTACCTCGCCTTCCTTGCTTTTCAATGGTCGTTCTGGTTTACGGTGATTTCCAGAGAGTTCTTTTGTTATGTCATACAGTTGTCTCATGTTTCCTTCCCTTGCAGCCTTTTCCGCCGTCTTTGCTAGATCTTCCACATATTTACGTTTGTCAGTTCTGATACTCCTCTTCACTTGATTGTTTACTTCTGTGTATTCAGCTTGTGCCTTGGCTTTTTCTGCTCTTGTTCGGCTGGTATTGATTGCTGCCTTCTTTTTCCTCCTTTCTTGAATCTTATCCAGTGTATCAACAGTGATCCATTCCTTGTTATGGTGCTTCTTGTGGCCCAGAACCTCATGACATGTTGAAGTGATTGCTTCTTTGATCCCCTTCCAGTTGCTCTCCATAGTAGTTCCTTCTCCATTGAGTAGATCATGAAAGGCCTGGAACTTATTGCTGAGGACTATCTTGAATTTGTTGAGTTTGTCAGTATCCCGAAGAAAGGCCGTATTGAACTTTTGTGATATTGTCCGCCCCGTTGTCCAGTGCTTCTTTAGTTTCAATTTCATCTTGGCGACCAGCAAGTGATGATCTGATGCTATATCAGTTCCTCTCTTGGTTCTCACGTCTTCCATCGTCCTCCTGAACGTTTTGTTGATGCAGATATGGTCGATTTGGTTTTGTGTAGAGTGATCCGGTGAAGTCCATGTGGCTTTGTGAATGCGCTTATGTGGGAATATAGTGTCGCCTACGACCAGTTTATTGAAGGCACATAGGTTTGCAAATCTCTCACCATTTTCGTTCCTTTCTCCCAGTCCGTGTCATCCCATGATGTCTTCATATCCAGTGTTGTCCGTTCCAACCTTGGCATTGAAGTCTCCCATCAGAATGGTGAGGTCCTCTGTTGGGCACTTCTCGATGATTGACTGCAGCCTATCGTAGAATTGATCTTTAGCGTCTTCATTGTGGTCGTTGGTAGGCGCATAGCATTGGATGATGTTCATTGAAATGCCCTCTTTCTTTGTTTTGAATGAGGCTTTCATGATCCTTGGTCCATGAGATTCCCATCCTATAAGTGCATTTTGTGCTTGTTTGGACAGCATCAATGCAACTCCTTGTGTATGTGGTGCATTTTCTTCTTTATGGCCGGAGTATAACAGAAGCTCTCCTGAAGTTAGCCGTTGTTGCTCAACTTGCGTCCAGTGTGTTTCACTGATCCCAAGCACCTCCAGGTTGTATCTCTTCATTTCTGCAGCAATTTAGAAGGCTCTCCCGGTCTCCCACATTGTACGAACATTCCATGTACCTAAATAAATGGTTGCCCTGGTTGTCAGAAGGGGCATCGGCCTCGTAACTTCCGAAGGAATTCGGCTTTCATCATGAGGCGTCGTAGTTCTTCTAAATGAAGACCTTCTGACTCCCAAGGCAGAGTTTAAAATGTCTGAGTAATTTTTTCTGGTTAGCGTTTTTTAGCGAGTTAGTTTTCTACGGGATGGGGACGCTAACCCCATGCCCAACCCCCCTCCTTTATCCGGGCTTGGGACCGGCAGTAGCCCCCGGAGGGACTCCAGGCGGAGTTATTAAGAAAGTTGGTTAGACCATTTATATCTTAGTCTTTGGATACATGTTGAAAAAAAACTGATTACTTTGTCAAATAACCTGCTCTTATTTACTAATTTGTTTATTGCTGGTTCTATTATTTCTGAAACTAATTACACAAAATGTGAACTATATTTTTTTCTGAGTCAGCAGTGATGAAAAATCTCAGTCTTCTTAGCATTATCTTGAAATAACCATTTCTCGGCTAAAGAACAGGACTGAACCTGGCAAATATCTTCCTGCCATTTATGTTGCCAGTCGAGGTCTGATGACTAAACGTGTATCTTCATAATCGCTTGTTTAGTCATGGGTCATTTAGAACGCACACAGACATACAAATTCATTCATTAGGATTTTATGGTTAGATCAAGTGAGTAATAGTAAATGTAAACCAGGTGCTCCGTACCACCAAATCGATCACTAAGTGAATAGTATTTCACATGAGTCAGTCTAATAAATGACATATAACATCCAGTTATTGAAGTAATGTCTTCAAGAAACTATCTGAAGTAAATTTTAAAAAAATTCGTTTGCAAATGTGGTCACTGGAATTACACAGAACCTCTTCTACTCTACTAGATCAAGTTACTGTAGATTGCGACTTAATAAGTGACTCAAGGTTTAAATAATATTAAAATGAATGAATAAAATGGCGATCTGTAAGTGGAATACAATAGTACGATGTGACTGAATGGTAACTACTCGAAATCCCGAATTATCAATTCAACTCCCAAAATGAACTGAGTTCAAAGACAAGAACATTCGCTAAAAGAATAGATATCTTATTTAATGAGGTAAAATGTTTATCTACAAAATATTAATATAAAAATAAATATGGTCATGTATCATAAGTGGTTTGAGGATTCGCATTTTAATGTTGACTCACTGCATAATAAATTAGAACCTGACTGTTAGGCTTAGTTTGTATTCATCTTATCACAAGTGAGCTATAAACCTATTCTGATCGATCACTCAGTAACAGGGAACGTTTTGCCTGTCTATTCCTCAGTCCCAACCGAATCCTATCTACTAAGTAATCAATCAGTACAAAAATCTCAGTCCTACAAAAGGTCGTAGCCTAAATAATTCAATGGCTACATCTTGGTCTGTGGCACATTGACACAGGTTCGAATTCACTGGTGAATATCAGTTCCCTCATTATTGCGGGTACGTAATACTGATGAGTATCAACCAACCTTACACCTAGGGATAGGGTTTCCTATCAGTTACATCCAATCACTTAAGCTCCAAATAGGATAAGGTTCTGCATTTTAGTCTTGACCCTCTTGATTGACTGTAAAACTAGGACATTGGAGACGTTTATGCTAATTTTGTGAAAACCTTAATAAGTATAAACCTAGAATATTTGGAATATAACTACATTGAAATGTCTCTTATTAAGATTG